GGGGCTAAGGAGGGGGGTGGATTTTTTTTGGTCGAGTGTGTCCTTTCGTTTACAGGAAGAAGACGTAAAATCTAGAAAAATGGGATACCGATGATCACAAATTTAGAAACGGTTAGGTACAACCGGAGCAAGGACGATAACTCGTCGAGTTGAAGTTTCCGCGAACGACGAAAGATTTTTCTTCGAGTAGAGTTCGACCTATATGTACATCTATGTATATATATGTATACATATACATATATACATATATATACATATATATATATATATTTATATATATGGATACACATAAAGTTACCTACTACAAAAGAGGGGATATAAATTTTGTCGAACGTCGTTGATTCAATTCGGAACGGGTAAGTACGTAAACGTACTGGCTGGATAAAGAAATAGAAATAGAAATAGAAATAGAAATAGAAAGAGAAATTGGAGAAAAGATATAAGAACCGTGGAGGCAGGAGGAAAGAAGATGAAGGTAAACGGAATTAAGGAGAGAGAAAGAGAAAAAAGGAAAGAAGAAAAAGAAGAAGAATAAATAAAAAATAAAGAAAAACAAAAAAAAATTAAAGATAGAAAGGAAATGTTCATGCTTGTCTCGAACTTATCACGGGTTAACGAGATCCAATTAACCATGACTTTTCTCAATTGCGATCGCTTTTAAGAGCGCTTTCGATATTTCAAAAGATACGACGAGAAATGGCGAAAGGCATGAATATAAAGGAATAAGGAATAGAAATAGAAAAACAGAGAGAGAGAGAGAGAGAGAGAAGAATATAATAATAATAATAATAAAGATAATAATAATAATAATAATAATAATAATAATAATAATAATAATAATAATAATAATAATAAAGATGAAAGAGAAAGAATACGACTCACTCAGTGTAATCCATAACCGACGTTCGCCTTCCACCGGCAGCACCATTTTGCATAAACATTAACGAGCGAATTCTCGAATTAACCCGAGAGCAAGCTTCATTCTCATCCAAGTGAAACGTTGTAATTTACATTTGCCGCCGATATAACTTGCCGCGAGGTTCCCTCCCTCTGGCCCTGCCCCTGTACGTGTCCCTGTCCCAGTCCCAGTCCCAGTCCCAGTTCAAGTCCCTGCGCTTAACCGCGCCACATAGACGTCCAATTCCCATTAACATATCGCAAATCCTTGAAATCAACTTTGCTCACTTTGCTGTTTATTTCAAATGCAACGTACAAATTAACAAGCTGTTCCTTCTCTCTTTTTCTTCTCCCTCTCTCTCTCTCTCTCTCTCTCTTTTTATTCCTCTATTTTTCTTTCTCTTTTTTTTTGCAATGAAAAACGTGCTGACGCGATAAGCACCAGTCGATTTGAAACTTTTAGACTTTTCTATCCCAACGAGGACAAGGATTGTCGTAGTCACTTTTTCCCATTCGTAGTAGATACGAAATGCGAGTTTCCGTCTTTCCTTTCTTCGAAATCATACCACGCGTCACCCTTAAGACACTTTGAATTGAGGACCTATCCTGTCCTCTTTCTCACTACGTAAATTCCTCTATTTCTATCTTCCTCTTTCACGTTCTTTTTCTTTCTCTTTCTTTCTCTATTCTCTTTCTTTTGCTCCTCCCTCTTGCTTTTTTCTCTCCTTGTTCTTTTTTTTTCCTTTTACTTCTCTCTCTCTCTCTCTCTCTCTTTCTCTTTTTTTTTCCAACAACGAAAAGAGATGGATACCACGGAGGTAAAAAGCACTTTGCACTCACAAATAACGATCGGACGTCATCGTTGGAATATTAATATGGATACCAGAAAGAAAGAGAGAGTTCAGAAGCGAGGCTTCCGCAGCCAGCGGTGGTTGCAGGCCAACTGGCATGTCAATTGGCTTGTTGCCCAGTTTTATAACTTGGCTCGCTATCTCTCTCTCTCTCTCTCTCTCTCTCTCTCTCTCTCTCTCTCCTACTAGCTAGCTTTCTTGCTCCCACCCTCTTGCTCTCTCTCTCTCTCTATCTCTCTCTTTCTCTTAACATATAACCACACAAGCACGTACAAGCTAGTCTCCTACAATCCCTTCCTCTCTTTCCCTCTCTCTCTCTCCCTACCTTCCAGCATTGTTCGTAGATATCTATCTATCTATCCATTTATCTCTCTCTCTCTCTCTCTCTCTCTCTCTTTCTTTCTCTTTCTTTCTCTTTTTCTCTTACTCTTTGCCGAGCTACCCATCGACGTACTCTCGACTCCGACGGCTTTACGTCGAAATGACGTCGACGTACCCAAGACAAAGATGGATGTTCGACTAGCTTTTCCCGCAGAGTCGACAGGGAGAAAGCTTCGACCCTCTGTCCGAAAAGGAAAAAGAAAATAAAAAAAAAAAAAAGAAAATAAAAAAAAAAGAAAACAGAAAAAAATATTCTACCGTATAATCCGCTCGATCTGAGAATCAATATTCGCGGAGGAGAAAGGAGAGATGAAGTAGAGAAAAGAAAAAGGAAGAATTAGCGCGCGATTTCTTTCTGCTACTTTTTTCTT